GGTATGGGCAGGGGGCTATATATTAGCACTATCAAGCAGGGTCTACAGAGGGGTATGGGCAGGGGGCTATATATTAGCACTATCAAGCAGGGTCTGCAGAGGGGTATGGGCAGGGGGCTATATATTAGCACTACCAAGCAGGGTCTGCAGAGGGGGATTGGCAGGGGGCTATAGCTTTCCCATTTTTTAGGGCACTCCTTTGTCCTCGTCAAGCACTGCCACATACTATACGGCACATGACTACTAACCTCTAGTATTTGTCTGCCATAGTTCTTTATTTTGGAATTGGTCAAATGTTTGCCTTTTATTTCATACTTGTCAAGCCAAGCTGAGTTTGGATGTGACTAAAAAATAGTTCATGAATTCAGCATATCATGGGTGGGAAGTAGATAGATAGGTAGGTAGATAGGTATATTGGTGCATTACAAGGAAAGGGTGTGAATAATTGAGTGGATAGGTAGACAGGTGTAGGATTGTATGATCACTGATTCTTATTTTATCTGAAACAACTGATGCTATACACAACATATTAGAATAGATGACGTCAAGTACTTACACAGTATATAAGGTCTTTTAATGAGCCAGCCTGGTTATATGGTTGGATTATGACAACAAGCTTATGATCAAGCATTATATCCACATTGAGAACAGGAAAGATGTATGGATGCTGTGAAGATTTAATGAGTTAAAGAAATCAAGACTACTGTACATTATAAAGAGAAAAGAAAAACTTGTATTTTACAACCACCACTTATATTTTACAATCACCACTCCCTGTGTGGGGCTCTTCCGTGAGGTTTCCTCAACACCCACTACCACTACATTCTATATTTACAACATAAAACACTTACAGTCACTCACAGGTTGATCTTTATGGAGGGAGTGAGGGAACCAGGAACCCAGAGAAAATCCTTGTGGCAAGGGAGAGAACAACACATCAAAAAACTCAACTCACATACATGTACGAACCCAGAACAAAGCAGTGAAAGGCAACTGGTAAACCTTTATGCCACCCATTTAGTTCTAGACTCATTTAACATACATGTAGGGCAAATAGACCCTTTTAGCTTGGGCATACACTGTAATGTTTTCCTATTCAAAACCATTCCCTTAAGAATAAGATACTTTGTTTTAGCTGTATCCAGATTCATGTTTCTTCCCATTTGCAACATTTGCATTTGTTAAAACAAAGAAATAATACTCTAGGGAATGACAAATGATTTGAAATGGGAAAACATTACCTCAAGCACAAGAAATCCCAAGCAAGATGATTAGAAATCTTTGTACAAATTTTAAATTCAATGTCAGTGAGACTACTTGCCTTTAACAAAGAAAACAACTCTGACAAAGTTTTCTTAGTCATCTTGTTGCAAGGTAATATACAATGTTGACTCCAGGGGGTCATGGAGAGTAGATTTTGTGAACGTGACACTGAATCTTGAACCACAAACCAATGTTTATTGATTCTGCTTCCTGTAGGAATTAAAATCCAGCATTATGGAGGCCTTACAGGATATTTTAAATATTCAATCATAAAAGTCCAACACACACACTACTTTTAGGGAAGTATGGGTGGCATAGTGGTTAGAGTGATTGCATCTTGCCAATGTACTGTACAGTAACTCATGTTCGATTCCTGAATTCGGTGACATACGTACTCTGTGAAGGCTTCTTGATCTTTTTGCTTTCTATTGTAAAACATTTTGTATAGAATGTCCAGGGGCTTGCCTGCCAGTAATATTACTTGATGTGGGTCTCACTTTAGGTGTTGGCAACTTTGCTACAGTAGATTACATCTCTCATAACAACAAAGCATGCGAGTACAATGTTTACCTATATCAGGAAGATGGTTTACAATGCTGTACTGTCTTGATTCCCTAAGGTAATAATAGCAGCTCAGCAAGATGGTATCTACATGTAAAAAAGGGACATAACAGTCAACAAAACCAAAGACAATTGAATATTAATTAATGAGAGGACCTTGTTACCTCTCTCAGCACTCTTCTGTATTCGTCTTTCCTCATCCCATTTCTGAATCAGACTTTGTTCTTCTTCTAAAGCTGTATAATCATATCTGGATCTTTGTCTATAATAAAAACATTTTAGGAGTGTCGCAATAATAATGTAATAACTGTAATAACACAAAGGGGTACAGTAGGCTCAAACAAGGGTATCAAATTTTGGAGGAAACTTTAGGTTAGATCACTAAGGTGATCTTCTTACTATCCAGGTAATATACTAATCAAATCCTAACTACTTTTTCCTTGCAATACCCCTGCTAAATCCCCAGCCCTACCCCTTGGGAATTATTGAATATACCCTAAAGGTGTAGTCTACTATGCAGCCGCTATTAGTCATCAGTGGGAGTGAGCGTTGTGTGAGGACACTAATATCAACTGCATAGAAGGCAATGAATGGTGATGTGTCTTCTATTGTTTGTTTGTGTCAATAATACTTTTTACCATAACTTGGAAATTTCTCGAAATTTCTCATTGTTGATTAGAGGCTAGACCTGCTTGTGCTTACGATATCTGTCACGTGCACTGAGCGAAATGGCTTTTTCAAACTATTTACTTGTCCTTTAGTTCAATTTTTTCGACTTTGTTATGGTAAAAAAAAAAAAAAAAANAAAAAAAAAAAAAAAAAACAGGTAAAAGTCAGTTTTCTATGGGTCTGTACTGTAATCGAACATGATATGACATCAAAAATGATCCCAACTTTGCAGTGAAACCACTGGCTGCGCTCGTGGTTCCACTTAAGCTTGGATCATTTTTGACAACATTTCATGTTCAATTACAGTACAGACCCATACATGTAGAAACCTGACAGTTGGATTTGTTAAGCATACATGTGAACATCATACCTGCACTTGCATATCAGCCAAATAATAAACAGCAGTACTAATAAAAACCCAATACCAGAAACAATAAACACCTAAAATGAATAAAAAATCATTAAAACATTTAATCCCAAGAATTTGAACTTTTGTTTATTTACACACATATAAATGTTTACAAGTATGTATATATACATTTTGAAATATAATATGAGATTTTTTAAGGAAAAAAATTATCAGTGTTGTTCATGGTTAGTGTGGTTGTCGAAATAGTGTAAACTTTCAAGTCGACAGCCACTTTAATTAATAGTAAAATGATGTGGGTGAAATAGGATCAAGATGGGGGAGTATATTATACCAATTACAGTTTAAATTAATGATAGCTATTACATATAAGAAGAATTGGAAATGGATTTACATTGAGATATACAACATATATATGCTATTTACAAAACATTTACATAACTATTTATCAATATATACATGTATATGCATATTCATATATACATATATATATATATAAACCTCATGAATACTTAATGAGGAAAGCAYAATATAAATCATTGTCCCTTGAGGAGGTTGTATATCTGATACAAAATCACCCTGATTTGCATAAACTGTAACTCCAATTTTCTTAGCCAAATTCAATTTTACCTTTAAAACTATAGTAGAACATGAATGTAATACACCTAGACGTTTCATAAGTAATATACAATGTTCGTGTCCGTGTTGTATAGGAAAATTCATTGGCTGACGAGGGAATTCCAAGTTGAATTCACGAGTCAAGCCAATGAATTTTCCTTGAATCCCATGACACTATTCAATCTAAGCGAATATAAAGAAGAAAAAAGAAAGAAATCGTGCGAGTTCAAGAAAACATTGGCCCACGAAGGAAACCATTCTGATGCCATCCTCCCAACCAATAGGAATTCCGCTCAAAGGTGAGCGTTTGATCTTTTGGTTTGAACCTCGTGGCGAGCAGAATAATATTTGCTACTGTGGGAAAAACTAACTGTTTATTCTCAAAAATCGCCTTCGCTGAAATACTTCGTTTAATCTGTTACAACAATGACTTTTTCTCGTCTTGATCGAAATTTAAGGCAGTTCAGCAGTCTAAATGTGCGAAAATGTCATGCAAAACAAAGAAGCTAACTGGTGAGTACACAAAACTTTTAAGACTTTTCTCTGAATTACACAATCAATTACTAAATAGACTAAATAGACTAAATGAAATCAAAATAAGCAAATTCCTTTTTCTTCTTCTTCTTCTTTTTTTACTGTTGTGTAGCTCAGTTAGTGTTGGATGAAGAAAGAGCTAGCGATGGACACCAGCCTGTAGATTGATGGAAATACTCACCGGTGAGTTGTTAAATGTGACTCCGGTAAACAGTCCACTTACGGCTCCACTCAACCCAAGACCATTATAAGGGGCTTCGGCAGCTTTACTTGTTTGGTTCGCCTGATGACCTTCTACATTGGCAGATATTTCATTCAAAGTATTTCTTGCTGGTGATCTTGAACTTTCAACTACTGACGTAC